TGCATACACACGCTAACAGACAAACACACTCACTCTAACAGACACACACACACAGTCAGACAGACACACACACACAGTCAGACACACACACTAACACACAGTCAGACACACACATACACACACACACTGTCAGACACACACACACAGTCAGACACACACACACAGTCAGACACACACATACACACACTGACAGATACACACAGTCAGACACACACATACACACACTGACAGATACACACAGTCAGACACACACACACACACTGACAGATACACACAGTCAGACACACACACACACACTGACAGATACACACAGTCAGACACACACACACACTGACAGACACACACATACACACTAACAGACACACACAGTCAGACACACACAGTCAGACACACACACTAACAGACAAACTGTCAGAGACACACACACACTGACAGACACACACACACTGACAGACACACACATACACACAGTCAGACACACACATACACACAGTCAGACACACACATACAGACACACACATACACAAATACACACTAACAGACACACTCACACAGTCAGACACACACACACACACTAACAAACACACACACACTCACATTTTTTTTTTAATTTACCCCCCATTCCCCCTCCTTACCGTTGGGAATTGCGGGGGGGGGGTTCATCTCCATGGTGGTCCCAGCCTCACTCTGCGGCGCGCGAGGGAGCTGAGCGGACAGCTCAGAGAAAGAGCTCCCTCGCCGCCCGCACAGCAGCCCGCACGGTCAGTTAGCCGCAAGGCTAACAAGGCATTTGCCCTGGGCATTTGGGGGCGGCTTTTTTGCCGCCCCCTGAAAAATGCCGCCCAAGGCAAATGCCTTGTTTGCCTCGCGGCTAAAACGCCCCTGGGTACACTTGGACCGACTCCACCACCCGAACACGCCACCACTACCCTGGTGGTATATGATATAAATGGGAAACCACGACCCCGACCTTCACCTGTGTAGAAACAGACTACCGAGGGGACCACTGCCTTGCTGCCCTAGCTCACGCTAAGCGGCGGTTTGGCATTGCCATCCAACTCGGTTACACAGGTACCTATCCCTACAGGGACTGACATCCCAAACACCCAAGAAACAACATAGACTACAGTGCATAAGCCCATAACAGGCACCAACTAACTACACGACTCACGAGAGACCCCCAGACCACGGGGGACGGAGGCGGCGGGCGCGGGACGCCGAGGTGATCCTCTCTACAACCCCACCAAACCCTAAAACTCTCTCCACACACCCATCCCCGCCCTTAACCCATTCCTGGGCCCCCATTCCCCACCCCTACAGAATACCACAACACACCCACGCGAAATGGCACACGCACCCGCACCATTCCACATAATCACACAAAACTGCAGAGGCCTGAACGCCCCTGAAAAAAGGTCTCACCTTCTACAAGACTTGAAACGCCGCCGAGTTTCGATTGCCCTCCTACAAGAAATGCATCTCAGAGAAGCAGACACCCATAGAATACAAAACAAGCACTATACTACCACCTATCATAGCAGCCACCAAACCACCCGAAAAGCTGGAGTCTCGATTCTCCTAAGCACCAATCTACAATTCACTCACTCCGAAACGCTCAAAGACACAGACGGGAGATACATATTCGTGAAGGGAACAATCGCCCAGAGAACCTATACGTTCGCCTCAGTTTATGCCCCAAACACAAACCAGGTTAAGTTCCTGCGCAGAACGCTCCTGAAACTAGCAACTTTCACGGAAGGCATCCTTATTCTCGGTGGAGACCTCAACCTACCTCTGGACCCTATAGCAGACACCTCCACTGGACACAGCACAATAGCACAAACGGCAATCAGAAGACTCCGCAGAACGCTACACGACTTGAGACTGGTGGATACTTGGCGAGCACTCCACCCAGACAGCCGAAACTACATACACTACTCGACCCTACACAAACGGTACTCGCGCATTGACTACATCTTCATCCAACAAGAAGGACTCACACATCTACAAAAAGCCGACATTAAACCGACCCCGTGGGCGGACCACAACCGAAACCTCTATACACCTAGACTCTCCCATCTTCAAGCCCACTAGATCGTACTGGAGAATGAATGAATCACTCCTTCTAGTCGTAACAATCCAATAGAAATTGACCGAACATTTGAACCAATACTTCGAAGAGAATGCAACGGCCGACATCTCACAGACAACACTCTGGGAGGCACATAAGAGCGTCCACAGAGGACATTTTATATGACAAGCATCGCGTAAAAAATGAGATAATTTGAAAGCAATCGAAGACCTAACAACCCAAATAGCAAAACTGGAGACTCAGCATACACGTAGCCAACTAGACGCCCAACACCGAGAACTCCTAACCGCACGCAGACAACTCACAGAGCTCATAGACCACAAACACTACAGAACACTACAATGCTCGAAGGCCTTCTACTACATACACGCGAACAAAAGCGGCAGACTACTAGTGCAGATGATAAGAGGACAACAAACAAGAGCCCAGGTACCAACACTGCGAACCTCAAGAGGACGCCTCACCCAATTCCCAGAAGAAATAGCGGAGGAGTTCCGCGCATACTACACAACCCTATACAATATCCACGCGGACCGACCTAATGGGCTACAGGAAGCTACCACCAGAGAAACGGAGCAATATCTACAAGGATTCCAACCAGAGGCGCTAACGAGAGAAGAAGCAGAAGCACTGGAAGTCCCGATATCTGAAGAGGAGGTCAGGCAGGCAATTAAGGGATCTAAGAATGGCAAAGCACCTGGCCCAGACGGATTTCCGGCCGGGTACTATAAGAAATTTAGTGAGATACCTGATCCACAGACTCACGGCCGCGCTGAACCAACTGCAGAAAGGAGACGGATTCCACGCAGAGACAATGGCCGCCACCATCACTGTCATACCCAAACCAGGTAAAATCCCAGAATGCTGCAGCAATTATCGCCCCATCTCACTCCTCAACACGGACGTCAAGCTATTCTCCAAGATCATAGCAAATAGACTACAACCCTACCCCCGAGACTGATCCACCCAGACCAAACGGGCTTCATACCGGGGAGAGAAGCCAGAGACTGTACTCTGAGGACGTTCACTATTCAGCACCTGGCACAAAAGGAAAACAAGAGCATGCTACTACTCTCCACAGACGCAGAAAAAGCGTTTGATTGGGTAAAATGGCACTTCATGATGGCAACTCTCGCCAAGATAGGGTTGGGGGAAAGGGATGCTCACGTGGATAGAAACACTATACCGCAATCCAAACGCAAGGATACGGGTCAATGGAGCACTCACAACTAGCTTCACCATCCACAATGGTACCAGACAAGGATGCCCCTTATCCCCCCTCCTATTCGCCCTCACTCTAGAGCCTTTCCTAGATAAGATCCGACGAACGCCCACCATCCAAGGACTCCGTATAAAGAACAGGAACACAAGGTGGTGGCCTACGCTAACGATATGCTCTTCTACATTAACAACCCAACAAACACGCTACCAGCATTAATGGAGGAATTCGAAAAATATGGCCGATTATCAGGGCTCAAACTGAATCACACAAAATGCGAAATATTACAAGTTTCGACCTCGTCACTGGACTGGAACCAGATCAAACGGACCTACCCCTTCACATGCTGCGAAGATCAGATGAAGTACCTTGGCATATGGATCCCATGCAGACCATCAGAAATATACTCGAGGAACTACACCCCGCTCCTTCACCAACTTCAAAGAGATCTGAAGAACCATGAATACATCTCCTGGCAAGGGCGAATAGCGGTAGTAAAAATGAACATTCTGCCAAGACTCCTGTACTATTTTAACACCATACCGTGGCATATACCGCCAGATTTCTTCGCGACAATTAAATCAGCGATAAGCAGTTACATCTGGAAAGGATGCCAGACGAGGCTCAGCCACGATAAACTATGCCTACCCAAAGCATGGGGCGGACTAGCACTGCCCGACGTACGGAAATACTAGCATGCTACGGTCCTACAGAGGATCAGAGACTGGCTCACAGCCCCGAACCACAAAAGATGGGCAGACCTGGACAGGGTAAGTATGCACGGTACCCTACCCTCACTGGTGTGGTACCAAGCCAGGGGTGAACCACCGAATACGAGTAGGACTTCACCAGTCACACAAACACTGAAAACATGGGCTATAATGAGAAAGGAAACCTATATCTCCCCGCAACCGAGCCCGCTGATCCCACTAACACATAACGGGGCCCTGGGTGGCGGCCTGACGAGGAGCGCACGGCCAGAAACTAATGGAGAAGAATATCTCCCTCTGAAGGAGGCGTTACATAATGTGGGGCTAAAGAACATACAGGAATGGACCGGGACCAAGACCCCCACTCTCATGCACAGGTTCCGTTACGCACAACTTAGGCATTTCTACTATAACATCCCGAACAGACAGGCGGTACATAGGGATATAACATGGTTCGAAAACCTGTGCGTCGACACTCCTGAAGCGGATGGGAGAGTCTCCATAATATACCAAAGAATACTGCTGGGCAACCGGGTCAGGAATACAGCATTTAAAAGCCGATGGGAAGACCTAACGGGCAGGACATACAGCGACGCACAATGGGAACAGATCCTCATACTACAACATAAGAGTTCGATCAGCTCAAAATACCAGGAGGCCAATTTTAAACTACTATCCCACTGGTACTGAACACCTGTATTGCTACACAGGATATTCCCAGGGACCCCTGACACATGCTGGAGATGTGAGACCCACACGGGTACAGTACGACATATATTGTGGGACTGCATTAAAATACAACCATACTGGGACCAAATCCGACAAGAACTGAATGCGATCCTAGGCGACACTACGGACCTCAGCATAGAAGCCGCCCTACTCCACTTCACGGACCAATCCGTGGCACAATATAAGAGATCAATTCTAAGACACCTACTCAATGCGGCTAAAGCCTTAATCCTAACGCTGTGGAAAAGCACACAACCACCCAAGATTGCACAATGGCAACAGAAAGTCGAGGAAATCCACACAGCGGATGTTTTTTTTCATTTGAGTAACATTGTTAAAGGAGCACTATTATCACCCAGACCACTTCACCTCATTAAAGTGGTCTGGGTGCGGTGTTCTTGTCCCCTTAACACCGTTGCAGTTTTTGAGAAAGTGCAATATTTACATTGCAAGGTTAAATCCTCCACTAGTGGCTGTCACACAGACAGGTACTAGAGGTGCTTCTGTGGCACAGATCGAGTAAAACTATGTCACGTGACGAGGAAATCGCACATGAATGCATTGATTCAATGATTTCCTATGGGAAAGTTGGAATGTGCGCATGGCACTCATCACGCATGCACATTAGGTCACCATTGCTCCTCTATAAGGAGCATTGGATTGGATCCCACCAGAGGAGGCCATGACGTCACTAGGAGGAGGAGAGGTGAGCAATGCTGAGGGAGCCTAGGTCCTGGAAACCAGGTAATTCAAGAATGATCACTGGCAAAATTATAACTTTAGGAATACAGGTTTGTAAGTTTATAAATATCATATATATTGGGAAGATAAGGATGCGTCACGTGAAAATAAAAGTTGGCATATGTCAAGAGGGATTCCATGCTTTTATTCAGCAGTGCCATTTCCAAAGAAGTGATGGCTTTCATTTAATATATAAACTAAGAAAAAAACACAACACAACTGATATACAGAGAGTATAGGGATCCATATTCCTTCACTCTGTTATCTTTTTTCTGTTCTCTGTTTTCTGACATCTCCTGTTTCATGACTTTTGATCCATGGCATCACTCAGATTAACCCACATTACTTCAGAGAGGGCTCCTGTGGCTTTTATGCTAACAAACTCTATGAACAAGGCTTTGCATATCGCTGTCTTAACACATCCCAGATTTAGTTTTCTTCATAAGGTATATTTTATAACCAAGCACAATGAGATGTAAGGCTAATTGAAATGTGCTATCTTACTTCGCATGGAGTGAGAACTGTTACTGACAAACAAATATCACGGCTACCAAAGCACTGAATTCATACAAATTCTGAAGTAGAACTGTGACAGACAAGCTGCCTGTAATATGTGATAAGAGCTTACAATAGCTGGGGCTTGAAGGACAGCCAGTAAAATGGTAACAATGTAGAACCAGAATGTAAAATAAGTGTAAATCTTTGATCCTGAATAATGTCCAATGCAGTAGGCAACTTTCGGCACTCCAGATGTTGTGGACTACATCCCCCATAATGTCTTTACAGCCTTAGTGCTGGCAAAGCATCATGGGAACAATGGGGTATATAGGTGCACCAAATATTTGTGAACTAAATTTACAGTTATGCTCAGCCAACCATTAGCAAAACATCATGGGAGTTGTATTCACAAATCTTCTATGGCAGGATTACCCATCACTGGAATAGAATGTCTCTTTAACTCAAATACTGCTAAAAGATGCATTGTGGGTTTATTTTAGTCAATATCTCTGTCCATATGGAGATATGATTTATCAGAGAGCATTATTGTAGTATAATGTATAGTATAAGTCTATAAAAGGTCTATGAAATAATCTGTGCTGGGATGTCGCAGTTCTAGAGCATTACTCCATGGTGGATTTCAACACAGTTTGTAATGCATTATAAACATATGCATATTAAAACAAATCTAATAATCCATGGAAAGGATTAGTGCACAACAGACACAAATGTAACTGCTTTTAGAAAATACCAATCAGTCACAACATTAAAACGACAAGTGAAGTAAATAACATTGATTATATTGTCACGGGAGCCCAAGGTTCATTGATGCACATTGGAGCTAAATATAGTCCCCCCTATAAATAAAAACAATAACTTTGGGAAGTGTTTGTGACTAAGAGGCTGCTTTAAAAAAAAAAAAAAAAAATTTGAATACCCTGTGTTGTCTATTTTTTCAAGTGGTATGCCATGATGGGGGTAATTCTAATTCCTGGGATGCCATACGGTCTGAAAGGCAACATAACCGATCTGGCATATTTTAATGTGTAAAATTGAAATAGGCAAGCCTTATATTTCAATCATTGTTGCAGGAAACTACCGCCCA